ACACTATGTCAACCAGTCTGGCCTTGATCTCACAGGATCTGTCTGCTTCTGCCTTCTGAGTGCTAGGATTGAAGGTGTGTACCATCACACCAGGCGCTCTCTAAATTCTTATAGGACTTCACTTAGATTTCTTTGTGTGTGTGTGTGTGTGTGTGTGTGTGTGTGTGTGTGTGTTGCAGATTCATATGCACATGCAAGTAGAGACCAGAAGTCAACCTTGGGTGCTGTTCTTCAAGAACCATCCATCTTGGCGCTCTCTCTCTCTCTCTCTCTCTCTCTCTCTCTCATTTGCAGAGTCTGGAGGTTGACATTGGGGTGTCTCCCTCAATCCATTCTTTACCCTTTCTTTTTTGAGACAGGGTCTCTCACTGAATCTGGAGCTCATTTCTTCAGCTAGACTGCTGGCTGGTGAGCCCCTAGAATCCCCTTGTGTCAGCTGGTGCTGGGGTTCCAGATGTGTACTCCCATGCCTGGCTTTTATGTGGGTATTGTGTAGACAAACTTGGGTCCTCGTGCTTGTAGGGCAAGCACTTTACCCACTGAACCATCTCCCCAGCCCCTACACTTGATTTTTGAGACAGGGTCTCTAACTGGCCTGGGATTCATACATTGGACTGGAATGATAATGTGCTCCCAAACCTGGCCTTTAAAAACCAAACAACAGGCCAGGCATGGTGACACACGCCTTTAATCCCAGCACTTGGGAGGCAAAGGCAGGTGGATCTCTGTGAGTTCAAGGCTAGCCTGGTCTACATGGTGAGTTCCAGGACAGGGAGACCCTGCCTCAAAAAAACAAAAACAAAAAACAATAGGGAACTGGAGAGATGGCTTAGTAGCTAAGAGTGCTGGCTGCTTTCTGGCCTCCATAGGTATTGTATGTATGGGTGCACTTACATATATGTAGGCAAAACACTCATACACATTAAAAAATAAAACAAAACAATCCATGGGTTCAGGGAATAGAACTTTTTTGAGGTAGATCCTTTCACTGAGATCTGGGGCTTACCAATTTAGGTAGGCATGCTGGTGAGCAAGCCTCAAGAATCCTCCTCTCTCCATCTCCCCAGTGCTAGGATTACAAACACACCACCACGCCTAGTCTTTTACCTGGGTGCAGGGATGGCACTCAGGCCCTCATGCTTATGTGGCAGGCACTTTACCAACTGAGCTATCTCCCCAGTCCCCATCTTTCACTTAATATAGGAAACACCATGTGCTTCCTGACTGGGCTAAATGCCTTTAAAATATTAACTCATCTATTTTTCGAACAGCATCACTACTTCACAGATTGGAATACAACAGAGTCAAGTAATTTGCCCAAGGCCACCTGCTCCTAAATGGCAGAGCTAGTGTTGCATTGAGGCGGATGACACTTAACCATTATTCCCCTCTTGTGCCCCTGAAATGGGTGGATCTTGTGCTTTACTTCTTTTTATGACTCTGTCAGTATACCCTGGATACACATAGAGCTTCTCAGGAGTAGGGCCTGTGTGACCTGTTCAATACCTGTTTACCAGCTGATTAAAATCCCAGTGGTATGGGCTGGGGAATTAGCTCAGGCTGTAAAGTGCTTGCCAGGCAAGTACAAGGACCTGAGTCGAGATTCCCAACATTCACATAAAAAACAGTACACCTATAATCCCATTACTGGGAAACAGAGACAGGAGAATCCTGGGAACTTGCTAGCCACCAAGTCTAGCCAATATAAGAAAGTCTGTCTCAAAAAATAAATTGGGGGTGGTGGGGGTGCTGGAGAGATGGCTCAGCAGTTAAGAGCACTGGCTGTTCTTGAAGAAGACCTAGGTTTGAATCCCAGGACCACATGGCAGCTAACAACTGTCTATAAATCCAGTTCTAGGGGATGACCTCTTGGGCATTGCACAGCATGGGTACACGTACATGCAGGCATAACACTCATACACATAAAACTTTTTTAAAAATTAAAAAATAGGCCTGGGCGTGGTGGTGCACACCTTTAATCCCAGCACTTGGGAGGCAGAGGCAGGCGGATCTCTGTGAGTTTGAGGCCAGCCTGGTCTCCATAGTGAATCCAGGCCAGCTAGGGCTACAGGGAGACCCTGTTTCAAAAAGACCAGAAAAAAAAAATTAAAAAATAAACTGAGGGACAGTGAATAAAGTGTTTGCTGTGTCAGCATGAGGATCTGGGTTCAGACCTTCAGCACCTTCATAAAAAGCCAGGCATAGAAGCTTTGTCTATAGCCCTCGATAGTGGGGAAAAATTTTTTTTGATTTTTTGCACACACACAGAATTTGAGGTCATATTTTTGGCAACTTATAGAAAGAAAATAATCGAGGGTTTTAAGTCTTACTTAATTTTGTTTTTGGGGGAGACTGTTGGCTCCTGGCCAGTTAGTCCAGCTGCAACAGCAATCTCAGGTTCGATGAGAGACCCTGTCTCAAAAAAATAAAAGACACCTGACACCAACCTCTGGCTTTCATGTTCACACGCACACACACACACACACACACACACACACACACACACACAATATGGTGGAGAGCAATTGAGGAAGATACCCGATGTCAACCTTTGGCCTCCAAATGCATGGGCACACACATGCACACGCACATGCACACAATCACAGTGGTTAATATATGCAGGTTGTAGACAACACTAGAAGGTTCTACCTAGGACTTGAGTAGGAAAGGGAACATTCTAGAAGATAAAGAGGCCTGGGGTTAGGAGGATGATGGGAGCACACTCTGAACTGCAAGACAGCAGCAAGAGACTGAGTTAGAAGCCAGGGAAAAGTGATGCTACTGTTAAACCTACACAGGCCTGCAAGGAGATGGAGCTGGCTGACGCATCTATACTTCAGTGTTGCAAGCAGGAGGAGGGAGTGAGGCTATGGAGCACTCCACTTTGCTCTCTTGCTTTGGACTGGACTGACTGTTTCACATTGCATGAAACTGCAGTTGTGAACCAAACTCCCTATGTGGGTGGGGATTCCACAGTACTTGTACATACTGAGAGGCAGGGGCTCTCCAAAGTGGTCAGGGGAAACAGGAGCAAGCAGCAAAGGCCCATGGGAAAAGAGACAGATATGGCTTGGCTTTCCCTTGCCCCACACATTTTCTTGACTTGAGCTACAGCAATGAAGCACTTAAAGCCCTCAGTGTGATGGAGAAGATGAGAACAGAGTGAAGAGGTTGGTCTCACGCAATGGCCAGTGACTGGGCCTGAGGTTGCTTCCAGACCCCCTACCCTTCCCCGGGCAAACACTGGCTGCTCAGACTTTGGGCAGACAACTAGATGCAGCTAGAATTTTGCAGTAATTTTAATTAATTTTTTAATTTTTTACTTTATTTTGTTTTTCTTGATCTTTTTGAGACAGGGTCTCCCTTTAGCCACAGCTGGCCTGGAACTCACTATGGAGAGCAGGCTGGCTTGGATCTCACAGAGATTCTCTTACCTTTGTCTCCCAAGTACAGGATTAAAGGCCCACCACCATACCTGGGTCTTATTCTTATGTGCACGCATGTGCGTGTGCATGTGTAAGTGTGTGGTGTATCTGTGTGAGTATATGCCACATGAGTGTAGTTGCCTACAGAGGACATAAATGAATGTTGGATTCATTGCAGCTGGTGTGACAGTCATTTGTGAGCCATATGACATAGGAACTGAGATCTGAAGTTGGGGCCTCATGAGAAAAATATAAGCATCTTCGCTGAGCCATCTGTCCAGTACCCATTTCATGTGTGTTCAAAATATTTTGTCTAGTCTCTCATTTGTCACGTTATTTTCAATTATGGCACTTTTTAAATACAGATAATTTTAGAAATATTCGTATAGTGAAATTTCTCAGCCTTTTTATAAAAAAAGTATCTTTATTAATTTGAAGATCAGGTTGGCCTCAATTTCAGAGAGATCCGCCTGCCTCTGCCTCCTCAGTGCTGGCATTAAAAGCGTACACCACCACACCCGGCCTTATTTTTCTGTTTTGTGTGTATGAGTGTTTTGCGTGCATGTATATAAGTGCACCCGAGTCCTGTCATGCAATGCCTACAGAGGCCAGAAGAAGGTGTCCAATCCCCTGGAACTGGAGTTAAGAATGGTTGTTAACCACCATATGGGCGCTGGGAACTTTATCTGGGTCCTCTGCAAGAGCAGCCAATGCTCTTAACCCCTGAGCCATCTCTCCAGCCCCTCATTATTTATTTTAAATTCCTTTCTATTATAAAGTTTTCTTATATAAGGTAGCATTTCTTTTCAAATAAGTTCATTATGTTTTTATAAAGTGAGCTAGCTTAAAGAAAATAGTAAACAAGAGCGACATGCAGATCTGAGGAACTCAATTAGCAACACCACCATGCTTGGAAGATACCAGCCTAGAGATAGCATTTACTGTGAGGCCATCATATGAATTTTATGAGTTTGATGTGCTGTTTCAAAACCCAAATTCTCTATTAGACACTTGGTATTCATCGACTGATACATTAGTTTTAAATTTGTCTCAGTTCTCCTAATTTGGGGGCAAGAAGCCAAAATGGAAGCCCACACACAATACCAAAGTTTTCAAACCCTTAAAACTTTGATGTCTCCAAGCCACTTAGCTTATTAATGAACTAAAACTGAACTAATAATTAATTCCATTTCATGCAGAGGCCTGAAAAGGGAACTGGATTCCTTTACAGAAAGTTAACACTATGCAAAGCAAACAAAAACAAAATCAATAGGGAAATAAGCATCTCCTAGCGTGGATTGGATCTTTTTAGGTTAGTATCACAAGAGCGAAGACAAGCGTTCACCTACTCTGACTTCACAGTAAATCTCTCCACGCCCAATCCCCGCACTGAGGTACCGCCTTCTCCCCTAAGCAACACCCCTCCCGCCACGGCCCCGCCCCCAATTAAAGGCCCCTTCCCATAAGCCCTACTCCGCCAACGAGACCCCGCCCCTCGGAGGAAGCCACACCCTCCCCGCCACTGAAACCCCGCCCTTTCCTGTAGGCCCCACCCCTCGACAGGAGCCCCCGACTTAAGCCACACCTCCTCGCAAGTCCCGCCCACCACTTGCCCCGCCCCTCCCGCTCCTCGCTTCTGGGCCCTGGCGGTGGCTTTCGCGTGCGCGAAGATGGCGGCTGCTGCGGGAAGGCTACTCCAGGCCTCGGTGAGTGGCTGCCTGCTTGGGCAGGCGCAGTGTTGCGGAGGCTCCGGGACCGGCTTCCCAGACGGGATCGCGTCGTCTTGGGCCCTCCCGGGAGGGTGTCTTCGGCTCCGGGCCCTGCCCCGCACGCCTGCGCAGCACCTCCTTCCCCTTCCCTGCTCGCCGTGCCCCGGAGTCCTGCGCTTCCCAGGCGGGGTCTCCGCTGAAGCACCCGGGTCTGGCGTGGAGGCCGGCGTCCGCCACCGCCAGTGACCTTGGGCGAGTGACGTGGTGCTTCCTGACCTCAGTTTGCTTTCCTTTACGGTGGGAAGAGTGATGCTACATCCCGGCGCGGCTGGGGCACTCTCTAAACTGCGCGTGAATTAGTGTCAAAGGAACCGGAGCCGTTTTCTCCTCCCACTCCCCGCCCGGCTCTGCTGCCCCTCACCTGCTTTTCCCTGGGCGGCCGCAGCCTAGTGCCCTCTTGCCACCCATCCCCCCCTCCTTTGTCACTGTGGGACCCCAGGGCATCCTTTCCTCCTCCCCGTGTCATGTTGGATATTAAAGTTGAGCAAACACTTCCCTTGAGCCGGTTCCAAACTCTCCCAGACCATGAACTTTGCACTACTTATTTGCTTGTTTGTGGGGTTGGAATGGCCTTGTCTTTTCTCATTAAAACCTTGACATAGCATGTACAGCAAATAGTCCCGGGAAAAGGATTTAAGTTAGTATCCAGAATCTGGTCTAGCTTTCCTGATTTTTTTTCCGCTAGCCCTCTGCTTGCAGCTTTTTATTCTTGAATTTGTTAACAGTTCCTTTGACCGTGCAGTCTTTAAGGACAAGGAACAAAATGGAAGGTTAAGAACACGCAGACTCAAGGCTAGTGTGGTGCCGCACGCCTTTAATCCCAGCATTCTGGAGGCAGAGGCAGATGGATCTCTGTGAGATCAAGGCCACCCTGGTCCACATAGTGAGTTTCAGGCCAGCTGGGGCTACAGGGAGACCCCGCCTCAAAAAACAAAAACCAAAAAACCAGGTAGACTCAATCCATGAGCTTATTTGGATTTGGTATTTGCTTCACAGTGACAAGAGACTGCTGAGGCTCCCACCATTGACACACTGGGTGACCACAGCAGGGCCAGAATTCGGTCATCCCTCCAGAAAATCTAATACCATTTTTCTTTCCAGGTTGCTCGGCATGTTAGTGCCATTTCCCGGGGTTTTTCTGCCCCTGGAGCCCTGGGGTCTGTTGCTTCTAGAAGAACCGGCTTGACAAACATACTATGGTCTGGCTCTACTCAAGCAAAATTTGCCTTTAGCACCAGTAAGTGTTGCTTATTCTGGTTGGACCCAGGTAAAGGGAGACTCTCCCTAAAAGCTTTTAAAAATAGAATAAGGAGGAACTGGAGAGTTGGCTCAGCGGTAAGAGCACAGACTGCTCTTGCAAAGGACCCAGGTTTCAATTCCCAGTACCCACATGGCAGCTAACAGCTGTCTGTAACTCCAGTTCCAGGTGATCTGACACCCTCTTCTGACCTCCTTGGGTGCTGCACAACACAGGTGTACTTAAACACATGCAGGCGATAGACTTAAACACATAAAATAAAAATAATAAAATATATAGCTGGGCCTGGTGGCACATGCCTCTGGAGGCAGAGGCAGGTGGATCTCTTGTGCGTTCAAGGCTCAAGGCCAGCCTGATCTACATAGTGAGTTCCAGGACAGCTGGAGCTACAGGGAGACCCTGTCTCAAAAAAGACCAAAAAAAAAAAAAAACCCAATAATAAAATATTTTAAAAATGCAACAAGGAAATGTATAGAGGTGGCCAGATCCACAAGGAATTGCCTGGGAGCAGTGGGTAAATAGCAGCATCAAAATTTTGAGGATATGCTCTTCAGGAAGAGCAGGAATAAAAAAATGAATGGAGAGAGCCAGGCATGGTGGTGCACACTTGTGATCCCAGGATTTGGGATGCTGGGGCAGGGGGTTTAGAGTAACACCATAAATTCAAGGCCAGCCTGGGTTACATAGGGACACTCTGTTTCACATAAACAAAAAAAAAAGGTGGTGGTGGTGGGGGGAAGACAAAAGGGCCAGGTGTGGTGCTTGCCTGTAACCTCAGCACTGGGAGGCAGGTACAAGAGGATTGCCACAAGTTAGAGGCCAGCCAAAGTTTTGTGGCAAAAAAAGAGAAAAAGGAAATTGAATAAAGTCATAACCCAGGAGGAAATATACATACAGTTTATTTAACAAAGGACAATTTTAGCTATCTAAAGAATTCTAACTCAGCTGAACGTGGTGGTGCACACCTTTAATCCCAGCACTTGGGAGGCAGAAGTAGGCGGATCTTTGTGAGTTTGAGGCCAGCCTGGTCTACATAGTTCCAGGACAGCTGGGGCTACAAGGAGACTCCGGTCTCAAAAAGACCACAAAAAAAAAAAAGCTAACTGAAAAATAAAAAGACAGTTGGATAAAATGAATACACAAAAACATGGCATTGCCCAGACCTACCCTGACAGATGAGCTAGTCTCATCTAGTCTTATTTTTGGGAGGAAAAGGTTCAAATTCTTTTCAGATATACAGTGTATGAAGGATGTGGGTTCTGGCTACTTTGAATAAACCAAACCAAACCTCTCTTCCCTGCTCCATCTGGCCACTTGGGAGTGAAGCCCGGCTGTGTCTTATGTCTTCCATTCCATTCTTCAGCCTCAGGTGACCAGTGGTTTTTGGAAATGGCTCCTTTGATGATTTGTCTTGCCTTTGAATGTGTTAAAAACTCGTTTTTAATGTGCAACAATTTAGAGGTTAGACTTAGTCTTTATGAGTGTAATATTCTAAAAGTTTTCACAGTTATGAAAACATTTCAAGTAGCTTCAAACTTTGCTCTGCTGCTCCCAAATCCCACCCACCTCCAACTGCTTCTCCAGTTTCTGTCTGTGACAGTCCAAGGTTGTCTGACACTGGGTTCCGTTTGTCTCTCATTCCCAGATAGACAACAGTCTTCAGGTTTGGGGTGGGTGTGCTGGGGATGGAACTGGGAGCCTTGTGCATCCCAGGCAAGCAGTACACCTGCCCCCTATAACCTCCCAGCCTTGACACTTGTCCTGAGTCTGCGCTTGCTGTTCTCTCTACCACACCTCAGTGCCTCTCACCAAGATAACAGCAATCACCGCCTTACATCAGTCTTACCCTCCTGGCAGCCTAATCTTCCTGAAAGCAGCTGTCTTCCTGTGACAGAATCTCCCTAACTCTGTTCTTTCTCCCATGAAGAGCAAACCCATCTGCCTGGCCTTTATCTTTGCTTTGTGTCTGTTCTTTCCTTTGTTCCCTTAGATTATGTGGCCCGAGTCACACTATGCCATGGGCAGTTCCCTGTGACATGCATGCTCTGCCCTTTGCTGCTGCTTGTCTGTGCCTTTTGCCTGTCTCATCCAGACTTGCCAAGATCTGAGCCAAATTTAGACCCCCAGTTCCAAGTCTGCCTGCCTTCTGTAATCTCGTTACCTCATGGACCTCCTGTTTTTGTGCCTGTTTTTTGTTTTTTTAAAAATTTCCTCACACTCGGAGGCAGAGACAAGTGGATGTCTCTGAGATCTCGAGCCAGCCTGGTCTATATAGTGAGTTCTAGGCCAGCTGGGACTACAGGGAGACCCTGTCTCAAAAAAACAATTTTTTTTTTCTCTAGGACTGGGGTAATAGCTAAGTCAGTAAGCTAGCACAAAGACCTGAGTTCCATCTCCCACATAAAAAAGCCAGACATGGTGGTATGCGCTTATAATGCCAGCACTTGGGGCTCAGTGGTCCGGCAGCTTAGGTCTACTTGGTGAGCTTCAGGTTCAGTGAGAGGCTGTCTCAGAAAATGAAAAGTAGACGGCTCCTGAGGAACAACACCGGAGGTTGTCCTCCAGCCTCCATATTCATGTACACAAATATGCACATGTACACATATGCATGCACGCACAAACACACACATTACAGGTGCACATATTTTTCTCCCTACCACTGAATTGAACTTGTGTGAAGTTTAGAAAGTTGCTGTACCTGAAATTGAAGTGAAGCTTCTTGAGCTGCACCACTAAACACTTTGCATTACCAATTATCATAATAGTGTATTTATGAATGAAAGGAGTTTAAATAAAATCCTGAAGTGCTTTATGTGTGGGGAATGACGAACTACATACAGGTGTGTGCTTTTTTTAGGTTCCTCATCCCATACTCCTGCTGTCACGCAGCATGCACCCTATTTTAAAGGCACAGCCGTTGTCAACGGAGAGTTCAAAGAGCTGAGCCTCGATGACTTTAAAGGGAAATACTTGGTGCTTTTCTTCTACCCTTTGGATTTGTAAGTGATTCTGTGATGCGTTCATGCCAGTGCTGACTCCTAACCACACTGAAATTCCTTTTTAGTTAGACTTTCGGGGACAGGGAGGATTCTTGCTGGTTGCTTGCCTGGTGACCTTGGCCATCTGTAGCTAATTCAATGAACTTAGGGAGAGAATGGCCTTTTTTTTTTTCCCGGTCTTTTTGAGTCAGTGTCTCCCTGTAGCCCCAGCTGTCCTGGAACTCGCTATGTAGACAAGGCTGGCGCCTTGAACTCACAGAGATCTGCCTGCCTCTGCCTCCAAGTGCTGGCAATAAAGGCGTGCGCCACCAGGCCAGGCAACCTTCTTTTTTAATGGAGGAGTTTTCATATGGTTCTGTTTGTTTTTCTGGTGGTGCTGAGAATCAAACCTAGGGCCTTGTGAACGCCAGGCAAACACTGAGCTGCGCTATCAGCTTTAATTTAAAGTGGTTCTTTTGTTTTGTGTTTTTGAGTAATGGCTCTCTAAGCCAATCTAAAAGTGTCTGGGGAAAATGAGAAAAGTAAGGTAAGAGTTTTTTATAAAGCTATTTGATATGAGGATGGTTTTTCTTAGAATTAACTCTTCAACTGCCCCGCCCCCCATCCAGGACTTTTTGACCAGCCTGTGCAGTAGGAAGTGAAGTGAGGTAGTGGTTTGTTTCTTGGTGTAACATTGGAGTCCACTGACCACTTTACCTTTCTTCACCCCTAAGCAAATTGATCTGGTTTTCAGACTACTTACTATTTATGTCTTAAATTCTTGTTTTTTACATTATCTAATGAAACTTTCTTTTTTTCCCAAGTACCTTTGTGTGTCCTACAGAAATCGTTGCTTTCAGCGATAAAGCCAATGAATTTCATGATGTGAACTGTGATGTGGTTGGTGTTTCAGTGGATTCCCACTTTACCCACCTTGCCTGGATCAATACTCCAAGGAAGGTAGGTCACCACCTTGCCTTGAACACACAGTCATGTTTTATTTTCTAATTGTTTTTAATTCTATTAATTAATTTTTTGAGGCAGGGTCTTCCTGTAGCTCCAGCAGGCCTGGAACTTGCTGTGTAGACCAAAGGCTGGCCTTGATCTCACAGAGATCCACCTGCCTCTTCCTCCTGAATGCCTAAAGGTGTAATTTATTTTTGAAATGGAGTGTCACTGTGTAACCCTGGATGGCCTGGAACTCTCTTTTTAGACTAAGGTTGCCTGGAACTCAAAGAGGTACACCTGCCTCTGCCTCCCAAGTACTGGGATTAAAGGCATGTACCACCACACAGAGCTTGTTTTATTTTTAATTCACAAATAATATATACCATACAATAAAAACATTGTATATGTTTATGGGATGCACCCTGATGTTTTGATAATGTATACGTTGTGTAATCAAATCAGGCTGTTCAGTGCTCTGTCTCCTCAAATCATCCTTTCTTTCTGCAGATGACTTTCAGAAATCCTCTTTTAGCTAATTTAACATCTATAATATGTTAATAACTGTAGGTACCTATTTTACAGTAGAAGGTGGGAGCTTATTCCTACTGTCTTAGCTTTTACCCCTTGACCAGTATCTCCTCATCCCCAACTTCCCTGCCCCCTGCACTAAGAATACAGTTGGTCTCAGACAAGGCCAGCCTAGAAGTTACCAGGGCATGGCCAGTCTGAAATGAGTTTTTTTGTTTGTTTGTTTTTAAGATTTATTTATTTATTTTATTTATTTATTTAATAACCATATAATTAGAAGAAGCATTTCATTACAATAGCAATGACATATTCAATAATAATTTCCAGAATTAAGATGCATCTCTTCAAAATTGGCTGTAAATTTTTAGGTTTATAGTTGAATTAATACAGTTATACAATATTGTACTCAGTATAAATCCTATAAGACCTAAAATTAAATGAGGTTCTAAACTTTAAAAAATATCTCCAATTCATTATTAAAATACACAGTTTCATACAGAAAAATTCATTTTTAATACAATTGACACTAAGATGCACATGCATTTCAAATCTATATATATCTGATTATTATTAGTCACAGTCAATTACTTTCTGAGCTCCTTGGCATCTGAGCATAGATATAAAGTCATCAGGTAGATTTCAATGATAATATTTTTCACATTTACTAATTAACATGAAGCAAATTTTTATGCTTACACCCACTTCCCAGGTAGCACCCTCCATAGCTTCCCTCCCCCTACTAGCACCCTCCATAGCTTCCCTCCGCCCTGCTACTCTCTGCTATGTTGTCAGCAGCCCCAGCCATTCCCCTCTACTTGTCCATCTGGTGAATCTAGTCAGCCTATCTAGAGGTCTTTGTTTTAGGAAGGTCAGCTGTTCTTCATCTAGTGGTAATCAGTTGTCTATATTCCTTTGGATAAGATTGGGGTCTGCTGTTCATTTTTCCAGTTCTCTGCTGGGTTGCTATCTGGGAATCCCTTTGGCCACTCTGGCCAACAACTCAAAAGAAGGTATCGCTTGCCTGGCATTGTTGCTTCTTATGTAGCCTTTAGCTATGGACTCCTATGAAATTATGTTGGCCCATTTAATCTTTGGTTATATTTTCCTTTTGGGTGTTTAAGGCCATACAGTTGGACCAGATAAACTGATTTATTTTTACTCTTAAGGTCATTTGAGGAGCTGTTCCTCAGGGGTCACATGGGCTTGGGAAAAAGTTTTATTTTTATTCTATTTATTTATTTGGTCTTTTTGCTGGGGGGGGGTCTTTTTGAGACAGGGTCTCCCTGTAGCCACAGCTGGCCTGGATTTGCTATGGAGACCAGGCTGGCCTCAAACTCACAGAGATCTGCCAAGTGCTGGGATTAAAGGCATATGCCACCACGCCTAGCTGATTTATTTTTATTTTATGTGTATGAGTATTTTGTCTGCATGTATGTAAGTGCATCATGTACATGCAGTGCTTGTGGAAACCAGAAGAGGGCATCAGATCCCTGGAACTGGAGTTAACACAGATGTGAGCTGACAAGTAGATGCTGGGAACTGGTCCTAGGTCCTCTGAAAGAGCAGGAAGTGCTTTTAACTGCTGTCATCTCTCTAGCCCTGCCCCCCGTCCCCTTTTTTTAAGACAGGGTCTCATGAATCCCACACTGGTCTTGAACTTAATGTATATACCCATTTGCACTTTGATCATCCAGCCTCCAGCTTCCAAGTGCTAAGATCAGAGCCTGGCTTTTGCTGTGCTAGGGATCTAGCCCAGGGCTTCACTAGGCATGATGGTACGCACCTTTAATCCTAGCACTTAGGAGGCAGAGACAGGCAGATCTGTGTAAGATCAAGGCCAGCCTGATTTACATAGTGAGCTTCAGGCCAGCTGGGGCTATAGGGAGATCCCGTCTCAAAAAAATACAAAAATCAAACCCAGGACTTCCTGCATGATAGGGAACTGCTGTACCAACTGAGCCACACCCCCTTGAAGGAGGCTGTTCCTAGGTCACCTACTGGCAGTCTGCAAATGCTGGCAGCAGCTCCCTACATTGTACATTGTAGGTACATTTATTGCCCTGCCTATTCCATGTTTATTTTCCAAGTTTCAAGCAATAACAGGGGACATGGCTAGAGTCTCACTGCCTCCTCTTGGGCCTGACCTTTGAACCCTCGTGCTTGTTGCACTGCTCTCTGTGATGTCTCATTTTAATATTTAAGAAATTAGTATTCTGCCGGGTATGGTGGTGCATGCCTTTAGTCCCAGCACTTGGGAGGCAGAGGCAGATGGATCTCTATGAGTTCAAGGCCAGCCTGATCTACATAGTCAGTTCCAGGCCAGCTGGGGCTACAGGGAGACCCTGTCTCAAAAAAAAGCAAGAAAAAAGAAAAAGAAAAGAAATTAGTATTCAACTCAAAAGCTGCTTAAGAATTGGAAAAAGTAGGCAGGGGATGTAGCTCAGCTAGCTCTAACAAGGCATGCAGGAAGCCATGGGTTCAGTCCCCAGTATCATATAAACTGGTGTGGTGGCATAGCCTGTTATCCAGCATTCCAGAGGTAGAGGCAAGATTAGGAATTCAGTATCATCTTTGGCTGCATAGTGAGTTGGAGGCGAACCTGGGATATATGAGATCCTGTCTCAAAAAGATCTATCCTCTGGGTTTAAATCTTTTCTCAGCCTCTTTGTAGCTGTGGCCTAGAGAAAGATACTTAGCCTTTTTGAGCTTCAGTTTCTTCATCTTTAAAGTGACAGAGATGAGCTGGCACTGTGGCTCAGTGGGTAAAGCACTTGCACAGCCTGAGTTTGATCACCAGACCCCTTATAAAGGTGGAAGGAGAGAACCAACCCTATACAGTTGTCCTCTGACCTCCAGACATGTACCCTTCCCCCCATGCACCGACACATGGTGATAATAAGTTAATTTTTTTTTTTTTTTGTCTTTTTGAGACAGGGTCTCCCTTTAGCCCCAGCTGTCCTGGAAATCACTATGTAGACCAGGCTGGCCTTGAACTAACAGAGATCGCCTGCCTCTGCCTCCCAAGTGCTGGGATTAAAGGCATGTACCACCACGCCCGGCCAATAAGTTATTTTTAAAAATAATAAAATAACTGAGATAATTGTATTTACTTTAGGCTTGTTGTAAGGAGGAAGTTGACAAAGAATTCATTTATGTGCTGTTACTATTACTTACCACCATTGTTATTGGTTTCAAACATTGTTACATGGTTCAGGCTGTGAGATTGCCCCAGATAACCAGTCACATTCACCTTTTTATTAGGATGGCGGTTTGGGCCACATGAACATCACACTATTGTCAGATCTAACTAAGCAAATAGCCCGGGACTACGGGGTGCTGTTGGAAGGTTCTGGCATTGCACTCAGGTAAGAGGTCAGGTTCCCCAGTGGACTTGCTGGTTTTCCCTATTTTAGTGTCATCCTACTTCTTAGGGGACTTTTTTTTTTAATTTTACAAAAACTTTATTGAGAATTTCATACATGCATATAAGGTGTTTTGATCAAACCCATGCCCACTCCCTCCCCTCCAACATTCCCCCCTCTGAAGAGGTAACCCTAAAATCTTTTAAGGATTAGATACAAGCTCCCAAATACTTTTGACATTTTTGGCCTTTGGAACAGAGTATGTTGCTAATAGGCCCAAGAACATTTTGACTTTTAACTGAGAAACTGGCTACATTTCTCTGGGGTCTTTTTACCCTAACCACCTAGCCAGTTCCTACCTCCTGTTCTTATCACACCATCCTCTGAAGGGGTTACCCAAATTGCCAATAGGGAATAGGGATGGCTTCTTCCATGCTGAACAGGGGTGCAGGGTGAGGCAATTGGAGTACCCCTTCAGTGGGTCTATCTAAAAGACTCCTAAATTACATAACTCTTATCTCTAGGGGGAAAAGAAAGTCCTTGACTGGAGAATAGGGGATGTGAAGAAGTAAAGGTAAGAGTAGTTAGCATTACAAGTTCTAGACAGGAAACCAAAAAAAAAGAACAGGGCAAATTTCAGATGTTCATATCGGAGTCCATTGGGATTTCTTGACGACAGGTCCCTCTATTGGATTCCTCCTCATTTTTCTTTTGTCTGCCAAGGCTGGACTCAGGAGTGATGGATTCAGGATTTGTTTTCAGGCACTTTGATAGCTATTGGTGTGGCTAGAATCAGTGTCAGTTCCCTCTCAAAGGCTTCTAGATAGGGGGAGAAAACAAATTTATCCATCATTTTAGAATAGTGGGTTA